CTTGATTTCAAAACCTCAGAACTTCCATTTTTCCGTAGGTTTCATTTTAATAATAAAACAGTGATCGATAGGGATGGGCGAAACACAAAGTAGTACTCGACAAAACGTGACGGTGTGCCAAATGCGTGTAAAATATTGACTGTGTCAACAAAATAATCAGCCGGAACAATGAAGACGACTTTTGGCAGTGCTGCTGACAACTTGGATAAATAAGGGGTAAACACTGAGTTGATCCCCAACTCTAGATAAATGTACTTAAATAGCTACTATATACATTTTAGTAGGCGTAGTTATTATTTTTCAAAATCAGATCATTGTCATGTGACACTGGCAGATTCGATGTACGAAAGTAGGTAGCACCATTGGTGCAGGTTTTCCACCTCCCATTCAGGCGGGACCGCAAAAAGGTGGAAAATAAGTTCCGCAAACTGGGTATGGACTAATGGAAGACGTAGTTGATCAAGCGCACTGCTGCAGGTAATGCTGTGGGAGGCCGAAAAACACAACTAATCAGTAATCAGTATTTCAGAAAGATTCCTCTCTGTAATTGGTCTCAGCCTCCGCATGCAAGGAGGCAGCAGTCTGTGCTCCATCCGCCCTGTTTCTTTCCTTCTTAAAAGTCTGCCAACCAACTGCCCTTCCTGTCTGTTCTACTGCACGGTTATTAATTTGTCCTTATGGCGCATAATGCCCCAAGGGTGTCCTCACTTTGAGAGATCAACATCTTTTTTGCTTTTTTGTAACAGGCGGAAGCCAAAAAACGCCGAGAGCGTGCTGAAGAGGAGTGGAAGGAGTACGAGGAAATGCGCCGTGCTGAACGCGAAAAGGAAGACGAAGAGATTAGAGAGCTGCGTGAGCGACGCGTAAGTTCGACCGCCTACCGCCGTGTACACAAACATTTTAATTCAAGCAGGACAAATTAGCTAATACTAGCTAATCCCTGGCGTCGCATCTTAGGCAGGCGAGCGAATTGTACAAAACTCTTTGCACAGCTCTATATAAACTGGATTCAGTGCTGTGTCGTGAAATGAACGATTAGAGAACAATAAAAAGACAACAGATAAAGCGTTAGGCGGCGGTCTCGTCGACTTTTCTTTTGAGCACGTTCCTCTATGAGGTAGGAGTTTGCTGTCAGTCAGGAGTAGACTGTGCCTTGTGTTGGTGGGTGTTATGTCGAAAGCATTAATATGATACCACGAAAAAGGGGAATGTTTATGCCAACAAACTCCCTCATGAGTTAACATTTTTTTCAGTTTTTGCGACGGCGCAGAATAACATTCCATTGTATTTACTTTCAGGAACGCCGCAGGAAGGAAAGAGAGGAGGAGGAAAAGCGCTTGGCAGAACAGCGAGCCGTTGAGGAGCAGAAAAAGCGCGCTGAAGATGTAAATTTCTTTTCTGCCCATAAATGCGTTGCTGATGACCATGGTCTAAACTACCCGTTTTGGCCATTAGAGATCTGCGCCTTTCAGAATTGAATTGCCAGAGAGTTTATACATAAGTAGCCGGACATTCACGATGCGCTAACACCGAAGACATGCTCGTGTTTTGTAAGCCAGATGAATATTATGATAATATTATAATGCTCTACCAAGCATTTAGTGGGTGCCTATTTGTCTTTATACAACTACTTATTTCCCCAATTTTTCTGACGAAAGGCTTCTGAAATATTTTACTGTTCATGAATACTATGGTCTTTGATACTCGCTGATGAAGGCTCACCAATTGCTAATGGGACTCACTCGGTGAACATTCATCAACGAGTGTCAATATCTGCCAATCTCAATTGGCAAGACAACGTAGCTCGTAGCTCAATGTTTAGGACGGTAGACTCCGATCTAAGAGGTCACGAGTTCGAGACTCAGGTGGTACACTTGTTGTGGTTGAGTAGGACTGGCTGACGACGGCCAATAAGCCAGAAATGGCCATTCCAGCCTCCCTTGCCTTTGGCGGCAATACTCTTATGGTTTTTGTTGACAGAAGCTGAATTTCTTGATAGATTACTGGGGAACATTCCCGTGGTTGTAGTAATACGTAGTCCCTCAATTTTAACAGCAAGCCGCTTGTCTATAAAAGAGTGTAGCCGGGAGAGACTAAGAATGGTCGCCTCCCCGCCCATAATTGGCATCACGATGATTTGACTAGGTCCAAAGAAACCGAAAATAACGAAACCCTCCACGTTTTATTTTCTACAGGAAGAACGCCTGCGCAAGAAGCGTGAGGAGGAACAGCGGAAACGAGAGGAGCGCGAACGCAAACGCGCCGAATTTGAAGAGAAGTCAAAGCAGGCGACACGCCGCAACTTCGTCATCAACAAGAAGTCGGGCTCTGTTGAGGTATGCTTTGTGCTTTTATCAGAAATTGCCTTTTAAAAACAAGAAGATGGTCGATATGCTTGTGCGTACTGCGTACTGCAGCACTGCAGTACTGCGTGCAATCTCAGTGGATATGTTGTATTTCGAGGTCCAGACTAACTACCTAAGCGCTTAGCACATTTTATACCAAAATAATAATGACTTAACACGTAAGAGTGCTAAAAGGGATAGTATTGAATGAAAAGTCACAGCCATAGTAATTATTGGCAAGTCCAATTGAATCGGTAAAAAAAAGTGAATGTGTGTGTTTATGCGCTTGGGTTTAGTCCAGCCTTACCACTCCTCAGCCAATCAGAAAAGGTTGCAGTTGTTGGCATCGATTAGCTTCGGGTGTATGCGCATCGACGGCGAGGTCGCGAAAGTACGACAGCGCGCAGAAATAAGAGGATGAGTCAGCGCTAGGCGCGCGGTTAAGCAAAGGCTTGGACAGTGAGAAAGAGATGAATCAGCGCAGCAAGACCGAGTGCGGGCTGCCATAGGCATAATTAGGTCTGAACTAGGAGAAGGAAACAGCCCAGCAGAGAGTTGCCACAAACTTTTTACAAAAGTGACACAACATGCCTTGCTTTTTCCCGTCCATTAGCTTGTTTCATTCGCTCGAAGGGCCAAGTCCATCTTCAGGACCAGATGCGTTTGGAGGACCACTACAGACTAAATATGTTGTCCTCCCATTAAGAAAATGGCAATCACTGTTGGTATGCATTTGCATTCCCATACCAAAAAGCCACAGGTCCATGTGACTAAGTCTTATTGAATATCAGCCATTTCTTGCTAATATGCTTACCCAGTCCAATAAACCACGTATGGAGTATATCCTTACAATACATCAAAAAATCACTTTACCTAAACATTTGGAAGACCTATCGAATTGAATCGGAGTCATCAGTAAAGTCGGTGCTATTTATTCTCATCTTCATAGTCCGGAAAAGCTTAAAAACTCCGTAGCTTGCTCAGTTTGCCATGTCAGACACGGCATCTATGAGTATTTAGGGGGGAATCGCCCCTACAATTTGACTAGAGTGCCTCGAAGTCATGTTTTGGGATCGGAAAAGATCTTTGCCCTTATGGGGAGGCTGACTATTTTGACAAGTAGTAGTTAGCCTTATCGGCAAAAGCTTGCCAATCAAAGTCCCCCCCTCCCGCCTACGCAGCTCTTCTATCAGTCAGATGTTACATTTTTGTTTGGTGCTCTCATAACTTTCGTCATTTAAACAGGTGCGCCTCTGCGTCTTTTCTCCACATTCATAGCTGGGTTGGTTTTTTCCTATTTTAAACTGTCTGTTGATTAACGCAGAGTACATATGAGGCGCGCGACCTATTCTAAAAATAAAAACGGCGGACGTAGCATTGTTAGAGGTCGGTCTTCACATAATACTTAAATGTCTACTAAATGCATTTCAGTAGGCGTAATTTTACACTAGCTAACACGGTTTTCGACTGGACTAACCCACACCCTCACCCCGCAACCAGCAAGCAAACAATCGGCTACCCCTTGCTCTATCCATTTTAGACGGTTGAGACTGAAGTCAAGAAGGAGGAGGTCACTAAGTCAAAGGAGCAGTTGGAGGCTGAACGCAAGGCCATTTTGGAACAGCGTATCCAGCCACTGCAGATCGATGGCCTTAAGGGTGATGCACTTCGCGCCAAAGCCAAGGAGCTTAATGAGCTCATCATGAGACTGGAGGGTGACAAGTATGATCTGGAGCAGAGATTCACGCGCCAAAGCTATGACGTAAGTGTCTTACGGCGGCGAGAAACACAGCCATCCCAGACCTTGATCCTCCATCCCTCCTCTCTCGCTCTTTTTCCTGAAAATAGTTTTTTGCGAGGGATTGTGATCGAAACATCTGTTTTACGGTTTTTGTTCTAGATGCAAGAGTTGGCTGAACGTGCGCGCCAGATGAACAAGGGGTAAATGCATGCATTTCGTATAAATGTCTCATCGACATTGGCCGCCTTCATTTGGTTTTAAGAACTTGCGATGGCTTTTTGTAGCCATTCTAGGGTGGTTTTACGTGTTTTTGTGTTTTTCTCTTTTTTAATGCTTGCAGAGACAAAGGATCTAAAAAAGTCAGCAGCGCACCGTAAGTCTTAATACAGCTTTGTGATGTCTAATCTAATGCCCTCTTAGGGACCCCTTGGCCGCAAAGATCAGCGGAATTCCGGTAAGTCCGGATGAAAACGGTTCCGACTCCCTGGATATGATGTTCCACCAGCTCATATGCGTAATTCCATTGCCTTTTGTTTCGTACTTTGTTTTTTGCCATTAGTGTGCCCTGCCCTACATTAATGTTGCCCTTTATTGTATTATTAGCCCAAGGTAGCCATGTATAGTGAGTATGAGCGTGTGAAGGATCACCGAACCTTCGGTGAGCGAAAAACCGTTTTCGCCGGTCCCCTCTTCGTGGAGCGCTATGAGCGCATTGAGCCCCAAACCACGGTCGTCATGACTGAGGACGGTTTCGTGGTC